AGATGTCCTTCAGGAACTCCAACTCCGCACGCAGACTCTCTTGATCGCACAGAGCTCTGGCCCTATGTACCAGTGTGGACAGAGCTGCCTGTTTACTGGAAGGGTGATGATGGGACTTGGCATTGAGATACAGGTTTGTGTGTGTGGGTTTGCGGTATACTGTATGGCCTAGAGAGCCATCACTGTCAATATTGTCGTCAATATTGTTTTAGACCTAATTCATCTACAGAGAAAGCATCTTTCAAATTAACAGAGGAAATACTAAAAGCAATGAATAATAGACAGTTTGTTGGAGGAATATTTTGCGACTTACACAAAGCCTTTGATTGCATCAATCATGATATACTTATCAAAAAATTAGAGTTTTATGGAATAACTGGCAAATTTGGTGCCTTAATTAAATCTTACCTGAATGGAAGATATCAAAGAGTAACCCTTGTCCCTAACAGTTCTGTTAATAGCTCATCTAGTTGGGCAGAAGTAAAATTTGGCGTACCCCAAGGTTCAATTCTTGGCCCACTTATTTTCCTCTTGTATATAAATGACATAACTAAGGTTTCAATTAATGGAACAAACATATTCTTATATGCAGATGATACAAGTATAATTGTGACTAATCCGGAATACGCTGACTACAAATCAGCCATGACCAGAATATTTTACAATATTAATACATGGTTCAGAACCAATCTGCTAAAATTAAATATTCATAAAACCCACACTCTCCATTTCACTTTAATGAACTATGAGGATCATAATATGCATAATAATATTGATCAAAATTTACCAACTAACTTAGAGTGTATTAAATTTTTAGGCCTAAATATTGATAATAGGCTGTGTTGGAAGTATCATATTGATTACCTGGTTACAAAATTGAGTTCGTCTTGCTTTCTCATGAGATCAGTTAAGCCTATGATATCATTAAGTAGCTTAAGAATGATTTATTTTGCTTATATACATTCTGTGATGACATATGGAATTATCTTCTGGGGCAATTCTTCATACATGACGAAACTTTTTATGATCCAAAAGAAAATTATAAGGATTATGATGGGATTAAAGAAAAGAGATTCATGTAGAGACTCTTTCAAGGAAATGAAAATTCTGCCTTTGTGTTCGCAATACATATATTCCTTAATGCAACACACTACAAATAACATGCATTTGTTCACAAGAAATACGGAGGTTCATAATATTGGTACCAGACAAAATGTTAACCTATTTCCCCCGAGTACTTCTCTTACTAAAGTTCAAAAGGGTCCATATTATTCTGGTATAAAAATCTACAATCATCTGCCTAAAGAGCTGAAACAATTATCTAATAACCAGAAATCCTTTGAACGTTCCCTAAAAAGATTTTTACATGCTAACTCTTTTTATACATTAAATGAGTATTTTAATTACAAAGGCACATAAATTTGAATGCTTAACGCCACATTTTAATATAGTTGGTAAGGGTGATGTGAGGAGTTGTATTGTGGCTACTTGTGACTTATGTTTGTTTACTTTTTTTGCCTTGTATTGTTGTATGTGCTAGATAATTAATGTGGGTGATCTTCGCGGTGTGACTTGTGTGACTTTGTGTATGTGTTTGATGACTAATTCCACATCCTGGGTTTGTTCCCTGTATGGATGTTTATGGAAAGTGGAGGATGTGTATGTATGTATATGATGAGTCCTGTATCAATGTATTTTGATTTATGGGAAAATTATATTAATTTTAAGTTTTTATAGTAATGCACTTTTTAAATTATGTTTAGTTACAATTGTAATAAGCTCTTTTTTTTTTTGTTTTTTGTTTTTTTTTATATATTACCTATGTTAGTTAACTGGTGTGTGTTATTTTAGTTGTGTGACTTACGTAATCTATTACATGTATACATCTATAATCAAATGGACTATTTCCACATCCTAGGATTTTTGCCTGTATGGATATATGGAAAATAAAGGAAATGAATGAATGAATATGGGAAAACAACATAAAAATGAATCTTACAAAAAATATTTGTTAAGTCATGAACAGAATTTATGTGGCTGAAGACTGGGTTCGCTGCGCATTTTCATTAGCATGATGATCCTTTGAGTTTCGTAACTAGCAGGGTAATTCTTGACCAGCCGCATAAGCCCCAACTGTTTAAGGAGGGTCATGTATCACATAAGAGGATAATTATGTGTGGCAAATTGTAAACAAGCAGATGGCAGTGTTCCAATATTCACATGGAAAGACTAGTCAAAATCTTTTTAATAAAGTCTGCTTTGAAAGCAAGATGGGGCAAAGAACAGGAAGAAAGTGTTGCTCTAGCAAATACTTACAATAGATTGAAGGAGATGACAAAAAGAACCCACCTGTTTCTTTGTCTGAAGGTCTGTCCGTACTTCTCTGAGGGCCTCCACGCCCTCCAAGCTGCCCTCCCCTAAACATAAGGCAGACACAAGGAGCTGTGTGGCATGCAGGTAATGCTTTTTGTCAAGAAAAGCAGTGAGCTGTGAAGGCACCTCACGCAGCTGGTCTCTGTAACAGAAAGATGAGGCATAGCAGTAATAATCTACTTAAAAGTACTGTCATGTTTGACACGTTTGGATTGGTAACTGGATTTATCAAACATAGATAACTCGAAAATACAAGTAACTGTAAAAGTTTCACAGCTCTACACATCTACAAATCATTGTACTACAGCGCATATGAAGTCTTCTATGTCTTCACTAGTGGTTGCTCAATAATGGTCTTCAGTAGGTGCTGTGAGGTAACAGTTCTCAACAGTGAAGATTCTTCTGCTCTCATGTTTATGTTACTGCCGGCTGGCTACTATCTCACAACTAACTCATCAATGACTGCAACTGAATGACTAGTGACTCAAGACTGACTGCTAAATTGCTGCTGGCCCTCACCAACACAGTTATTCTTGGTTCTGAGTCCCACCAGACTCATGACCATACTGTCACATGTCTCAGTGACTAAGATGAGGGTTTGGATTGGTGGATCGGTTTCTTGGATCTTCACTAGTCATAACTACAATTAGTTCTTACATTCTCAAGAAACTATGGCACATGTAACGTCGCACACTAAGTCTTCCAATTCTTCTTCTGGCCACACTGCTGTTCCCTTGTAGCTTTGGAACTCAAGTGAAATCAATTCCCATTCTTGTATTCTCTCACATGCTCTCGTCACAGACCACGCGCAGAAAACAGTTTTCTTGTTGCGTAAGGCAGACAACACAGAAAACAAATCACGTGATAACTATCTCGCCAGTCCATTGGAGCACTGACTGCTGCCTAGCAACAAGCCATACACATTCATCCTATTGTTGCATGTATGTATCACAGGGTGTTTACCGAGCCATTGTCTGGTAATGCGTTGATATGTCACATTGCTCCCTCCTTAAGGCTATTCATCCAAAATAGCCTAGCGGTGTATCACCTTTCGTTCCTTTCTGAGGGTTGTGCTCTCAATATCTTTAACCAAGTTGTTTTCTCTTTCTTTCTCTCTCTCTCTCTCTCTCTCTCACTGATGTGGCTGCTCTCTAACCACTACCGCTGCTCCCTCCTTAAGGCCAGCTCATCCCTATGTGGTTCCTTTATGAGGTTCCAGTTAATCCAGGTTTTCAACATAATCCAAAGTTTTTCCTCATTTTTCTTTTCCCCAGTGGATTGTAACTGCCTGAGTGGCCAGTGCTCCCACAGCTCCAGTTCTTATTCAGTGTGCAGCCAGTTTTTCTGCTTCAGAAGGGGCCAACCTCACCACAAGCACCAGTTTCACATTTTCTGCAACAGGCTAGACATCCCAGTTGCTTGCCTTACGAACTCCAGTCCAAAAGCCTTTCTATCGAATTCGCTGGCTTCCAAGCAGTACCTGCTCCTCGAAGTCTTGGGTTCCTGGTTCCATTAGTGCATTCTTGTGTATCAGTTGTCTCCTTCTGAGCATCCGTTCTTTCCAGGTTCCTCTTACAAATTTATTCCTGGTCTGATTCTTCAGCCATCCCTGTTTGACTGAGTGTCCTTCACGACTGTCTCTCTGAAGTCAGCATCCCTTGCGCTGTGCCACTTTTGAACAGTGGGTCATCTTCCTGCTGGCTGTGGCCACACTCTCCTCGTCAGTTCCTCTGACTCTCCGTGTTGCCCTGCAGCTAGATGCCAGCCCCTGTGCTGCTTCTTCATTGNGGGGGGGGGGGGGGGGACAATGGATAATGTCCAGACACATAATATTTGTATTAGATCTGTTATTGCTAATATTTTGTTTATTATTATACCTTCACAGTCTCGTCTCACATGATGATGAACGTCTGAAGTAATTATAGACATTAACTTTTACTTTGAGTGTTTTGACAAAAAATATTAATTATCTTAGCATTCTTACTTTTAAAGGTAAAAAGGTAAAGTTGTCCATGTGATTAACTAATTAACCGTTCAGCGTGNGGGGGGGGGGGGGGGGACAATGGATAATGTCCAGACACATAATATTTGTATTAGATCTGTTATTGCTAATATTTTGTTTATTATTATACCTTCACAGTCTCGTCTCACATCATGATGAACGTCTGAAGTAATTATAGACATTAACTTTTACTTTGAGTGTTTTGACAAAAAATATTAATTATCTTAGCATTCTTACTTTTAAAGGTAAAAAGGTTAAGTTATCCACGTGATTAACTAATTAAGCACTACACTATGAAGATGTATGAGGGAGTGGATGTATACATCCATNGCTCCAGTTGACGCCATTTTATCGTACTGACCTTGGTGGTCGTTTCGAGGGATGACCATAAATATTTTTTTTTAGCCAGCTAAGCTCTGCTTTCGTGCACTACATACCAGCCAGTTCTTAGAATAACTTCATGAATTCTGTGGTCACCCCTACCACATCTACTGCCGCCAAAATGGATGGAATATCAAAGGCATAGCAACAAACCCTTGTTATGATAACTCGTAACGTTGAATTTATCTGCACGACATAAATCTAATTCTTTATCTACAGAGGATGAATTTATCATCTTGCTTTACTGTCATAAGTGACAAGTTTATGAAGAGATGTTTTTCTAGAAAAGAAGTTGTGGATGAATGGATACAGAGAACACTAATGTACACTCACATCTCCTCAAGCAGCTGCAACACATGCTTGTGCTCAATGCCCTCAAGCCAGAGCTTCTTGAGTTCATCCCTACGGCAATGCAGAAGAAGCTTGCAGGCCTGCAGGTTCTCCTTCACAGCATGGATTTTTTCACGGGATGTTGTCACACGGGCTGACAGCTTTCCAAACAGCTGGACCATGAATGAAATAAAATTCTTATAAGTTGTATCTAGTAAAATTATATACAGTAAGTCCTCCCATAACATCCTGTGTTAATGTCGTTTTGTTATTTTGTTGATACTATTTTCATACCAGGGCTCCATGCATCGTTGTATTACTCACTAACATGTTGCTTATCCCAGAGTTTCAGACAATGGTCAAAGATGAAAGTAACTTGCCCAAAAAAATGTTTAAGGTTGACAAAATTGGGACATCATCTACCACTCACTTGCTTCATCTTTGGCCATTCGTGAATATAATGTATCATACTAAATGCTAAATAAACATGACTATAGTTTATAATCGCATGTATTCATAGCCAAAGTAAGTACAGTAAAACTTGGTTATAGCAACATCGGTTTCTGCGACACCTTGTCTATTGCGTCAAATATTCAATGGTACGAACTAATTCCTCATAAAGCAACTGTTTTTATACCTTGCTTAGTACGACATGCACAAATGCATCAACCTTGTATGTAACGTCATTTTCATTCCTGAATTTCTCTGATATCGTGGGAAAGTTCGATGTGTCTGCCCACCCTCACTTTCTCTACTTGCTGACGTGACTGTCCTGGAAGAATACGACCGCGGGCTGCAAGAGGAGCATGGGTTTTATGCGAAAACAAGGGTGTGGGGTGGGACTGCGTGAATAGTGCAAGAGGACGCGGCAGGTTGTTAACTGCATTCCTTTCCTAGAATCTCGTCTAATAGGACCTCACATTGTCTACTTACCCTATAGTGTTCCTGCCTAAACCCAGAGAAGTGCAGTAGCGAAAACATGGCAATGAAAAGGAAAGTTTTAAGCATTGAAGAGAAAGTTAAAGTGATTCGTGAAATATTGTGTGTATTGTCAGTGAAAAGCGCTGTAATATGTCTTTGATATTACACATTTGGGCAATTCCACGTTAATGTTACGTTAGTCTGTACTTAACTATGTATTTCACTAAAAAATGCAACATTTTAACTCGGTTTTTGGTACATTTTTACATGACTAACATAAGGCTACTGTGGAAGTGCCCATTTCGGTTACAACGACATTCGTTTATAACGACACTATTTTTAGGTCCCTTTGATGACGTTATAACCAAGTTCTACTGTCTTCACAATCACGCTCATACTGTTTATATTGTAATGTAAGTTATGAAGGTGAAAAAAAGGCTGAGGAATGTAGCTTAATTATTTCTTAAGCTTCTTATGGTAAAAATGTATCTGCTTAAAATGATGTTATGGCTCATAAGAGCATATCCGCGACATCAAATGGGGACTTACTGTACTGCATAATGATGGCAGTGATAAGCATTCATGGAAATAAAATCACTCACTCACTCATGGAGTTGAGCCCTTCTCGAGAAGTTGCCAATTCTGCAGCTACTCAAGAACTGCCCAGCATTTTATAGAACCTGAAGGTTCATTACCATGTTCACAAAAGCCCTCCACTGGTCCCTATCCTGAGCCAGATCATCTAATCCATACCATCCCATCCTATCTTTCTAAGATCCATTTTAGTATTGTCTACCCACCTATGCCTTGGTCTTCCCAGTGGTCTCTTTCCTTCTGGCTTTCCCACCAATATTTTATATGCAGTCCTCTTTTCCCCTCATTCGTGTTACATGCTCTGTCCACCTTATCCTCCTCGACTTGATCATTCTAATTATACTTGGAGAGGAGTACAAGTTATGAAGCTCCTCATTATGCAGTTTTCTCCAACCTCCGGCCACTTCATCTCTCTTTGTTCCAAATGTTCTCCTCAACACTTTGTTCTCAAACACCCTCAGTCTATGTTCCTCACTTAATGTTAGAGACCAAGTTTCACACCCATACAGAACCACAGGCAAAATTATAGTTTCATATATTCTAATTTCTATGTTTTTGGACTGCAGACGAGAATACAAAAGGTTCTGGACTGAATGGTAGCAAGCCTTGCCTGAGTTTAATCTCTTCTTAATTTCCTTCTGAATCAGGTTTTGATTTGCTATCATCATTCCCAAATATCTGAACTAAGCTACATTTTCAAAAATATCTGTTACCTACCTTCATGTCATGATTTTGCCCTGAAAATGAAATGTCTACATTAAATACTAAACAGGCCTAATAACTTCATAGATGCAAATCCTTATATGGGTGGCAGGCTATATGATCCAGATAAAAGACTCAAAGGTACTCAACAAAAACTAAAACACATTTCATTTACGATAGGAAGTTATAATATTTTAATTATCACAATGAGAAAATCATAATTCCAAAATATCGTTCTATATATGAAAGCTTAACGAACAGTCAAATTTTCCCGCGCCAAGTGGACAGAGGCAGCCACCGGAAGGGGCAGAAGCAAAATGGCTATGTCAGTTGAGAAACTGGAGGCTCGCGCTGTGATACGCTTGTTGCATTTGCAAGGGAAACCTGCCAGGGAGATCCACGACCATATGACCGCTGTGTATAAGGGCTTGCACTGTGATACGGTTCCAGCATTTGCAAGGGAAGTCTGCCTGGGTGATCCACGACCAGATGACCGCTGTGTACTATCATACGACACAGTGGTCAGGTGGAAGAGGCGCTTTCATTGTGGACAGACAAACCCCGAAGTGGAAGACCATCTCTCGCTGAGGAACCGGGAATTGTGGCACAGGCAGAATCTTTGATCCTATCCGATAGGCACATAACTATCAAATCTATTGTTCACAAGGTCCATATTAGCCATGGGTTGGTTTTCAAAATCATCCATGATGAGTTACACGTGACAAAGGTTGCTGCGTGTTGGGTGACACGATTTTTGACTCCAGTTCCAAAACAGCAACGGATAGATGTGGCAAAGAAACTTTGCAATTGTGTCTTGACAAAAAGATGGAATTTTTAAACTACCTGATCATGATGGATGAATGTTGGGTATATCATTATGACCGTGAAACAAAAGAAATGAGCAAGAAGTGGAAATGTGCAGACATGAAACTTCCTATGATGAAGGCATCCCCCAGCTAATGAATCGTTGGGGAAAATGTGTGGCCTTGTAGGGGGCATGTGCAGAGAAGGACTAACAATTTCTTGCACCTGTGTCTCTGTTTCTTATGGGTGATAATTAAAATGTTATGACTTCCCCACGTACATAATCGAACAACTAAATACAATAACTATGACTTTTGGAGAACAGAAGCCAAATTAGATTTATATGACATGAGGAAGAACAGATATTGGTAGACCCAAAACCAAGTAGTTCGACCAAATAAATGGGCCTGAAACTGTCTAAAGAATGGTAAAATCGATTAAGGTAGTCTATAAGCGATTACCAGGGCCCGGATTTTGATGACCTGAAAATATTTAAAAAATGACCTATAAAATGACCGAAAAAATCCAGAAAAATGACCTAAAATATGACCTAAAAATGTAATATTCAGGGCCCGGATTTTGATGACCTGAAAATATTTAAAAAATGACCTATAAAATGACCGAGAAAAATCCAGAAAAATTACCTAAAGGAGAAAGAGAATGAACACTTCGCTTCCATATTATTCACATTTCAGAAAACATATGAAGAGAAATTCCCTAAAATGGCCAAAAATGACAAGAAATACCCTTAAAAGTCCAAAAATTTACCAAAAAAATTACCCCAAAAATGAAAAAAATTACCTTAAACCTAAAAATGTCAAAAAATTACCTATATAATTTACATTTCTGTAACCAGCAGCTCATATCCGAGATGTATACATTTAAGGGCATCGCATAGGATACAAGGAAAAAAAGATGACATGTCATCAAAATCTGGGCCCTGGTGATTACATATAATCAAAGGAAGCAATTATGACCCCATTCAGGGCTCCCTGTAGGACTGGCATGCTTGGTTTCAGGATCATATGAATTGACTCACAGATCTTCCAAATACCCACTTGCATGACTTGTGTGAGGTCTTGATCATGCAGTGATACCAGTTCATCCAATTTCTGGTCACTGCGTTTATATTCCTTCTCTAGTTTGGCTTTTTCTCTGTCTCTCTGCTCATTTGATTCGCTTGCTGATAGGGTGCGGATGACGGACATCAGCAGTCCGCTCTGAAAGTAATAAACATCTCCTGTGTTTGTGATGCAAATCCACACAAATGTAATCCCCAAACCTGTTGCCATAGATCCATTCTGTGTGACCCTGAAGTATTTACCTCCATCATTGACCTTATTACACAAAAAATGCATCACCACATGTACTTAACTTTCTATGGATTGATTTTATGAGTACTTAAATATATTTCTGGAAAATTTCACATTGGAATATAAATTGGAAAGGAAATATACTTCTTACTACAAGGATACATTGTATCATTTATTTATTTATTTATTTATGGTTTATTTAACACTGGGGCATTCAGGAGCGTAGTTGGTTGAGGCACTATGCTACAAGCCAGAAGGTTGTTGGTTTTGAGTCCTGATGAGGTGGATTTTCAATTGACCTAATCATTGCAGCTGCACTGAGGCCCTGGGGTTGACTCAGCCTCTAAGAGAAATCAGTACCAGGAATTTTCCTGCGGAGTAAAAAGCGGCCGGTGTGTATGGCTGACAACCTTACCGCCATTTGTGAGCCAATTGTCTGGAAAATGCAGGAACCTCAAAATCTCACAACCCTACAGGCCTTCACGGCCTGTTACAGGGATTGCTTTACTTTTTATCTGTGGTTTATTTAACACTGTCACAGTAGTAGTCAGTGACTACTACTGTCACTGTAGTATTTAACACTACATACCATATTGGATATTACTGCATAATGAATGTGAAAGAATGTTGAAGGAAACAGACATGGTACGTGTATATTTTGAGGTACTATACTTGACCCACTTTGAAGTACTATACTGTCCATGTCTGGAAGGGGAGAGGAAAACCATGAACAACCTCAGTATGGACAATCAGTCTCCAAATCCGCATCCGAAACCAGGACCTCCCATATATGAAGAATGAGTGCTGCCAATTTGACCACAGTGTTCAGGATCATCATTTACTTCACCACTACCAACAATCATCTAATTAGTATTAACTCATTTGTAGATCAAAATCTAACTGATGTCACAAAACCAGCAGTATTATAGTTGGCATATTAGAAATAATAAATGAAACAGGCAAAACATACAGGGTAATCTATAAGATATAAGGTATTCATAAAATGATATGCAAAGGTGTCCCTGTGCTTAATTGAGCACTACGCCCTGAAGACATATGGCAAAATGACAGAAGGAAAGAGAGAGAGAATTTTAAGCATAAAAATATCTATTATTTTTATATAAGAGAGTATAAATAACACTACCAGATAATACTTTAATTATTACCTCCATAAACAACAAATAACAAAATATAAATACAAAAGCCTACAAAAAATCTGTTAACTATATTACTTAAAAATATTACAAATTCTGGGTGGTTCAATGTTGACTTGGACTTCATTTTTTTTCTTCCAAAAAGAATATACATGACAGAATTGTCAAACTCTACTTCTTTTCAAGATATTCTCCCTTTATAGTAATATATTCTTCCCATAATTCTAAAAAATTACTGATGTCATCAGAATAAAACGTTTAATCCTCAATGCATAGCCAATTCGTAACACCACATTTGAGATCATTATCAGGTTGAAATTTCTGTCCTCCTAGGTGCACCTTGGTTGGTCCAAACATACGAAAGTCATTGGAGGGTAAGTCAGAGCTGTAAGGAGGGCAGATCATGATTTTCCAGTCCACTGATGGTAACATGAAATCTAATATATGTGGACAAGCACTGCCATCCAGGAGGTTGATTTTCTTTGACAGTTCCCTTGGTCTTTCCTTCCGAAACACTTGGTGCACATTCATTGCATAGTAAGTTACTATAAGGCTGTGCATTAATTGTTGAACCATGTAGAAGAAAATCAACATGAATCACTCCTTCTGAATCTCAAAACATGTTCGCTACGATCACACAGTTTGAATGTTAACTTCAAAATGAAAGTCAGGAGTCTGTCTACAGCAATCCAAGTACATTTCAAATTTCAAATTCTGTATATATGACATGAAGTGGTGCAGAGGGGTAAAACTCCTTAATTATCACTTACTTACCAAGCCCAACAAGCTTACATGTCACCGAAATCCTGGTTGGTCATACCGAGTTGCGCTGAAACTTGGCGACCGTATATTATACATAAATCTTCTCTAAATCAAACCCCATTTGTATCAACAAGTCTTTTTTCGTGAATAAATCTACTCTCTACTGCGTTGCAACATAACACTATGAACATGGAATGACGTAACGGATGGGCCGTCAGGTTGCCCCTAACCTCAAAAGTTGGAAAGTAATTTTACCCACCAACGGATGAATTACTAAGGTAATTGCATCCTTCTAACCGCTTATAACTTACCGTTTCTTTTTGATGTTTTACTCCACGAGGGGGTTTCGTGGGAGGTGCCACAGCTGACATGTTTCAACAAACTTTTTGAGGATTGGCAAAATTACATCAGACCAACAACCTCACACGACTTTTTTCTCAAAGAGTCATTATCATTAGCCATAATTAGTAACTGAGATGGGTGGGGAAACTTGGACCGCCTTACACAGGTCGCCGGGGAAACAAGCACTAACGTCACTCACGTCATGCATATGAACACATATGAAGATGGAGGATGTACGGAAGTTACTCCTGGCCAGTAAATTTACCTTCCTCAAAAACAAAAAAATCCTAGTAGTCGCTTGAAAGTTATTTCCTGTCCAGGAACATCAGATTTCACTGTGTATATTCTAAATGAAGTTATTATGAATTTGAAGACCATACCAATCAAATTATTTTATTATTTTTGTTTTATTAATGTGAACATGTGAACACGAGCCAACACCAGTGTATTAGATTAATACTACTCCATAATAATTGGGTGATGTGATTTGCGTAACCCGTGTTTAGGTTCATAATTTTTTATTGCAGATTCTGAGGGTAAAATGTGAATAATTTATTACCTGGGCCCTCTTGGCTTGTTTCATACCTCATGTTACAGGCCTACCTCGAAATGACGGGGAACATGTTGTGACCTTTGTAATGCTGGTTGCTATGTTAACTCCAAATACGACCTACCCGCAATCAACTTTTTGCTGCTGCTGATTTTTAATTATGGCTCTACAGCCCTTCGTTGGGCCTTGACCGCTTTTTTTTCTCCCCCCTCCAGTTTCTTGATCCTATACAGTCAGTAGGACTGCAGACAATTAACGGCCGTGGGGATTCGTTGCGCTGACCACGCGACACCTTCTATCCGCTAAAGTCAGTGCTCTTTCTGTAAAAGTTCCTTGAGTAATACAGAACTTATCCATCCGATATTCGTCCATCTACCACGATGAATACCTTTGTTGCGTTTACCACAGCTAACGGCACGATGCTGAAAACCCCTTTGTAACTATAGGATAAGGAACCTGATTTCGCGAGGTTTTTTTAATGGCAATATGTTTGCCATCAAATGCCCCCACGGCATTCCAAAATTGATGTAGATGACCGAAATCACTAGCGATGTTGACCCATTCCTCAGGAGTTCCGGGAAACTAAAAAAAAAGAAGAAAAGAAAGGAAATTTAAATACAACAAATAAATAAATACGAGATACATGTTAACAACAATTTTTATCTATATTCAGGACACTCATGATGGAACAGGCAGTGAGGTACATGGAGAACAATCCCCGACACCAGCAGCCCCTACCGCATCACGATCATCAGTTCTTCCACCACCACCACCACCACCACCACCACCCAAGAAACGACGTGTACTTGGACCAATTGCAAACAAAATGAACTTGTACAGCAAGTTTGTTCATATCTGGACCAACCGAGGGAACCCCAAGAAATTATCCCGACTATTACCAAGGCTTGGGGTGAGAAACTCAATTCATTGGATCCTCAGCAAAGAGCTTCAGCTGAGAAAGCTATTAGCGATATACTTTTTGAGGCGAGTCAAGGCACTCTACACAGATATCCTGTGAAAATCAACGAGGATCCCACATACGGGACCATTTCGTCGCTAACTTCTTACCCCATTACTGTAAGAAACCCATCACTTCAGTCCTTTTCATTAGTGGATACATCTTCTTGTCACTCACCACCCGAAGAACATGAAGATTCATTGCCTACATTCTTTACAAAATTTAAACCCTAATTATGATCCTTCATGTTGTTCTGTAACAGTTTCATTGCTAGTTTCATGTTTCGTTAGTCACATGCTTTTCAATAGAATTTTTATGCGTTTCATTTTTCAAGATATTGTATTCTAAATAATTTCTAACTAGTTGATATGTTTTAAATATATCCTACTGCTCTTGAATTTTAACTTGTACAATAAGCAAATCATTGATACAAAACAATTACACAAAATATGACTTATATGACTTACCTTCACATACACGGAGTGTCCAGGATCCGTTAGGACTTTTTATTATTATTATTATTATTATTATTATTATTATTATTATTATTATTATTATTATTATTTTGCGCTGCAATGCCATCTGTTGGCGAGCTGTGGCGTTAAGATTCTTGACGTTT